TCGCCCCCTCCACTGCAGGACCAGTCTCCCCCAGGAGTGCTCCTATTCCAGCATGGCACTGTGAGGCCCTCCCCAGGGGCAACTGGGGTGCACAGGGTCTGCAGTTGCTAGAGGGGGGCCCACATCCACACACATCCATACCACCCTGGTTGTCTCCCACAGGCCACCCCGAAGCCTCAGGCAGAGGTGAGGCCATTCAGGTAAGTGGAAGCCAGCCAACCTCTAGCCTTGGTGACCCCAGGGAAGGGGACGGGACAGGGGACCTGAAGGTCCAACATGTGGGTGAGGTAGGGCGTATTGCCATCCAGAGCTGCCTTGCTGAGGTGGCGGCAAAGTAGGGCCCCAGGATCCTGAAACCTGCCATGGAGCCAAGCCACTCAGCACATCCCACAGAGCCTGGTTGTGGCCACACGAGACTAACCCAGGGGCGGGCAAACGTTTTGACTCGAGGGCCACAATGGTTCTTAAACTGGACCGCAGGGCCGGAACAAAAGCATGGATGGAGTGTTTGTGTGAACTAATATAAATTCAAAGTAAACATCATTACATAAAAGGGCACGGGTTTTTTTTTGTTTTTTTTTTTAGTTTTATTCATTTCAAATGGGCTGGATCCAGCGCAGGCCGTAGTTTGCCCACGGCTGGACTAAGCCATTGGCTTCCCACCCTGGGCCTGTTTCCTCTGTGAAGGGAGTTACTCAGCTCAGAATGCATCCATCACACACTTGCAAACAGCCCCAGGCCACACCAGATAACTGAGGCCCCTCCAGGCCAACTTAACACCACTGAGCCCAGACAGATCTTAGATGTAATTTTTATTCAGAGTTTTTCAAAGCAATAGAAGGGTAGATTAATACCTATCTTTCCAAGTTAAGACCTAAAACTGTTTCCAAAACTTCAAATAAGAAAACTCCTGCTTGAAGTACAAGGATAATCTGTATCACCTTAAACCAGCAATAAAAAAGTAAAATATAAACTTTTATTTAGAATTAAAGCAAATACTTCAGTATCACAAACACAATATTAAACTTCAAGAAATATACCGCTAATTTGGAGTGAGCATTTATTTGCACAATTACAACATGCGGACAAAACCCAGAAGAGGGGAGTGGGCCTGGCATATGCACCCCAGTGCAGCAGTTGGCCACACCACCAGCACAAAGCGAGACACATGAAGGGGCTACGATCTGCGATGATCTGACAAGTGGTGGCAGAGGTGAGGGTGCAGGTGGTGCAGCTGCTACTCGCCCTCGTCCGAAGACTCTCTCTCAAATGTGTAGGCCATGAAGCAAGCGTCGGGTCTCTTGGGGACAAGGGGATGCCCCGGTCTCACAATCTCAAAGCCCATAAAGCTGAAGGTTCGGAGCAGAGCGGCTGTGGAGGAAAACTGCATCTGAGCCCGCTGGCCTCCAGCACCCTGGGCTCTGTGCCCGCCCACCTTCACAGATGGCCCTAACAGGAGCCTCCCAGGGGCTGCAGCAGTAACGGGCAGGGGAAGCTCAGCAGGGTCCCGTAAACAGCATGGCCAAGATCTGACAACAGGACCTTGGGCCACAGGTCTCCACCCCAGGTCTCCTTTTATCCCTGCAAGAGCAGCTGGTGATGGTGGTCACCTACCTCTGTCATCACGGTTCTTGTGGAAGCAAATGAAGACATGGTCAGCATGCAGCTGCTCCTCAGCAAACTCGAGAAGAACTGCAAAGCTGAAGTGCAACTGTCAGAATCTGCCCCCCCTCACGTGCCCCTCATAAGGGCCCAGCGTGCACCTCCACTTCTCTTAAAGGGCTTGATTGATGGGAGCACAACTTTCAGGTGTAGACCTAGAGGCACTGGGGCTGGGTCATTCTGTGTGGAGGTTGAGCATCCCTGATTCCATCCCCTCAATGCCAGGATCAACCCTAAGGGGCACCCCCGGATGTGACCACCAGATGTCCGTAAATATGGCCGTGCCCCCTGTGGAGGATCTCCGGAAAACTGCTAGACCACTACTCAAAACAGGGATGGCCGGCCCGACTCTGGACTCTGGTTCCCTCCTCCCCTAGGAGTGAGGACATGACAGGCTGGCCCTCACCTGTCTTTGCTCCCCTCTGGCAGAGCTCCGCCTGGGATCTCGATGTAGAGGCAGCTACTGCTCAGCACTGCTCTCCAGTTGATGTGTTTGGCATCTGTGAGCCTGGTCTGGACATTGAGAATTCTCGTCTTGTTATTAGACGTTAGTTCCTCTGTTACATTCAGCCTATTATCCTGTGAAAGGAAAAAACCAAGTTCAAACCTTTAGACATCAACCCCCACAGACCAAGTGGCCGATCTTCCTCCTCAATGCCACAATTTGGTAAACCCAGAAAAGCACCAAATCAACCAGTCACCCAGCCCCCTGCAATGATGGCTTCTGCATGCAGGGCTTCCCAGGCTTCTAGGGGAGGTGGCTCGAGCCAGGGCCAGGGTGGGAGCCCCAGGCTGGGGCAAAACAGTTCACCAAGGGCTACTTTGGCTCAGTAAAGCGCCTGGGCTGCAACTTCCACCTATGTGTGTCCCCTGATCCTCAGATTCTGAGAATTCAATAAAATCGTGTAGTTAGATTCCTAGCACACAGCAGGTGTACAAGAAGTCTCCACTGCTCAGAAGCAGGGCTGCAGGTATGGTGTGATGTGGCCTGGCCAGCCCACCCACCCCCACACCCCCCAAGGTCAGAGAGCCCAGAGAGCCAGATACTTACGGAGTAAAATAAATTAGCTGAAAGATTGTGATCCCTCTGACTATTCCCTCGCCCACCTGGGATCTTCAGGGGTGGGTGAGGGACATCAGGAGCACCACTGAGGCCCTGGACCCAGGTTACTACAGCAGTTAAGGGAGACCCTGGAACTGGAGGAAAACAGGCTGGTTAGCAGTGTGGCCTTTACTGACAAGACCCTGAGCTTCAGCCAGACAAAGCTGAAGGCCAAGGCATTCCCGAGTCCCAGCCAGAGTGGTGCCCACCCGAGATCGCCCTCCCCAGTCCCATGCTTACACCAGTCAAGGGGTCAAAATCAACAGCCGCCAGTCAGGGCAGCTCAAAAGCTCCACCCGCCCCCTACCCAGAAACCAGAGAAACAAGCGGTTACTTAACGGGGCCTTCTTGGGCCATGCTTGGGTTATCAACCCAAATTCCACTCAGTGCTGTCTTCCGTCCTTGAGTTATATCTCAAGACAAAGACAAAATCTCACTAACCCAATCCTACCTCCCCATCAAGTTTTACTTCCCACTTCTCACTCGGACCACTTCAGCTTCCCCCTTTCCATTTTGCAGTCTGTAGCAAAAATCGGAAATTCTAGCGCATTCTCCGAAGCCAGCAACATTTTGTTGGTCCACCACCGGCAGGGCGCGCTTAGGGGGAGAGGCCCGCGGAGGCGCCCCTCCCGCTGGACTCGGGATTGCGTCATCTCAGCAGCCTGCCCTGCGCCCCGGGGAGATTTTCACAATCGCGCAGTCGGGAGCGCCAGCAGCCATTTGCTGCGCAGTGTAAACAAGTCCCGAAGTCGCCTCCATTTTGCACGGCTCCCGTCTGGGGCCCCTCAAACCCCTGCCCGCACGCTTCTCGGCTCAGGACCCCCCCGCTGCGGGGCCAGTGGAACCCCGGAGGTGGCGGTGGTGGGTGCCTAAGATCTTACCAACTACTAGCAGACTTCACATCCGACCCCCGGCCCCTGGAAATGGGCACAGCTACGTTCACCCAAAACATCTCTAGCGCGGGGGCGGCAAGAAGGGCCAGGCCCGGAGCCCGCGGCAGGGCGGTTCGGCGGCCACCGCCACCCACAGAAAGCCCCCGGCGCCGCCTACGTGGCGCAGCCTCGCTCTGCCTGCCCTCGGGGCCTGGCGCACCCGGACCCATACGCTCTGCGGCCAAAAATAGGGGTCACTAGGGGGACCCCGCTTGTTCGAGCTTTTCCTCCGTCTGAGCGCTCAAGATCCCCCCGGTCACCGCTAATGGGCCAGCGCCCGCAAAGTGCAGATTCACGGGACTCGTGGGCCCGACTCGGCCTCGAATCAACCCGCCCCCCCAATCTTTCCCCCCAATCCCGCGACCCTCTCCCAAACTCGATTTCGTATTTCCGCTGTCTCCCTAACCCAACCAGGTGCCCCCGAGGCCCCCAGGCCGAGACTCCGGACGGGTCCCGCTGCCCGCCCCGCCCCCATCCAGACGAGAACCCGCCCCCCCCCCCCCCCGCGCGCGATTGTGGCCTCGACAAAGGGGCGGGTCTCGAGCTCCCGGGGCTTCCGTGGCGCCCCGCGGCCGCCACCCTCCAGCTAGCGCGGCGGCGCTTCTGGAAGCTTCGGGCAGGGGCGGGCCGCTCACCTCTCGCTGCTGCGGCCTCCGCGGCTGTGCAGACTGATGAGCGGCATGGTGCGACTGGGGTGAACGGTGACGCTGGGTTTATTCCCTTCCTTCTCTCTGGCGAAACAGTGGCTGTTGAGGATCCGCTGCAGGGAGGATTTCACCATCCGGCCGCTGGGGTCCGAAACCAGGAAAACCTCCGCTGCGCCTCTCCGCGTCGCCGCCGCTGCTCGCCGTTCGCAAAATGGCGTCTCCGCCGCCGCCCGCTTTTATAGGCGCCGCAGAAAGGCCACGCCCCCTACGCCGCCTGGAACGCGGCCGCGCGAGGGGCGGGGCCTCAGGGAAACAAGGCACGCACGCCCCTCTCGGCGTCTGATTGGCGAACGGCGAGAGAGAGGGTGAGATCACGCCGAGGATTGGGCTAAAAGCGTAGGGTCCCGCCCCCACCCGCTGGCGTCCCTCTGCGGGCGCGCGGAGGGGGCGGGGCCGCCTTGGCGCCGGGAACCCGACGCGCGCGCCCCGCCCCACCCCCACATTCGGACCGGAGCCGGGTGGTGGCTTCGCGCTGGGTCCGTTTTCGGCGTGTCTCCCCGTGGCCCAGTCTCCTCTGTGGTCCCATCGCCGTCACGAGGGTCCCTTCCCCCAGCGGGGCCCCCTCCCCCGATCTCGGGGCGGGGAAGGGGTCCTAGGACCGCCACCCCCCCAATAGGTCAAAATTATTTTCCGAAATTACCTGCGAATAATGGGTCATAATGATGGCTCTCTGGATTCGATCTCTCACGTTTTAAAACTTAAAATTAAAAAGAATTTTCAATGTTAATGACATTCAAATTAGTAAAATATTTTTCTCTAAAATTTGGACTTAACAAAATATTACTCTTTGCAGATAAAGTCAGCTATTTCGTGTGTGGACTAAAAATTTTCCCCCCAGCAAAGATATTACTTCTTTGTTAATTTAAATTTAAAAAGTTAAATTCAGAAACACATTTCACGCAGGCACTAAATTTTGCACTTACCGCGCGACACGAGCATTTCTTGCGGGTCCCACGGTGTTTCGCGGTTTCGAGCTGTGGGCACAAACAGAAACTCGGAGGGTGGCCTGGGGCTGCAGCGGCTAAACCCCGCCAGTCATTTTTATCCCCTTTTTATCCCCAATCCACTGTGTTCATTGGGGTCAGGAACACAAACTTCCCCCAAAGGACCTTGAATAATTACAAAACGGATAGACATTTACTCTGCAAAACATGCGTCTAGTCCCTGTGTGTCTCTGAACGCCTTGTTATGTGGAATGCAATACTTACACAATATAAGTAAGAAAAACGTCTAATTTACAGTAATATCGGTTATTTTTTTTAATGTATTTTATTGATTTTTTACAGAGAGGAAGGGAGAGGGGTAGAGAGTTAGAAAATCGATCAGCTGCCTCCTGCACACCCCACACTGGGGATGTGCCCGCAACCAAGGTACATGCCCTTGGCCAGAATCGAACCTGGGACCCTTGAATCCGCAGGCCGACGCTCTACCCACTGAGCCAAACCCGTTAGGGCAGTAATGTCAATTATTAAAACAACAACAACAACAACAACAAAAACACTAACAATTGCAGTGGTTGGGCCAACCAAAGAATTTTCCCGGAGAAAAAATATGTAACCAGCGACATTGGGTAGGATTGCAGCTCCTGGGGAAAACTAAAGCAAGGGGCTTTTCCGTTAACGCTATCATCGTTTTCAGCTTCTCTACAGAGGCGCACACTTTACTGGGCGGGCTCACGCCCACACCCTAGGTGTAGAATTAGTGTCCTCATATTTGTAGAATTAGTACCCTTGTTATTATTTAGGCCTTACATTTTCTTGAAGCGGGGAGAGCCCCCCGGTTTTGAAATTTGTTTTTTCCTTCTTCCTAGCTCTCCAGTGTCTTACCCGGACAGGCGCTGCTGGGCCCAGAGTCCAGAATCCAGGCCTGCCGACGGCTGGCCACCGGTCCCTGGGTCACACTGTGTTTACCCACCATGGCTGAGGCCAGAGCGTGACCCAGATCCCAGCTGACCCCCAACACAGGGGGCTTGCAGCCCCAAAAAGACTGTCCCAGTGGGGTTGTCTCCAAAATCTCCGCAGAAGCCTCCGGACCCTGGGACTCGAGACTTGGGGTGGGGAGGGTTCTGTCTTCATTGGCAGGCCCTGTGCTGTTTCCCGCCAAAGTAAACTTAAGTTTGTAATCATCATGGGTGGAAAGGGGGGGAAATGTGGCCTCTTGGAAAACAAACAGAAGCAGGTTGCTTTTTGCAGGGGTGGAGGAGGAAGGGGGTGCGTTTGGGGCCAGGGTAGGGCAGGTTGGGAAAAGTCACTCGAGGGGGTCACGCTGTCTGAGGGCCCCCAGCCTGGGCAGGGAGGTGGGGAGCAGTGTTGTGTCACCCTCGCGGGGACGGTGGGCTCGGTTCTGAAACAGTTGCCTCTGCCTGTTGTCATGTCTTACAGCAGCCACAGGAGACGCACACATGGGAGGCAAGGTGGGCATGTGGTCTGCTTTGCGCCGATGTGGTGGTGGGGCGGGGACTGAGGTCCTTGCCACCCCTAAGGCTGTGAACACTGAAGCCAGACGGGAATCTCCTTCCGGGTGTCACCCGGCACTGAAAGCCTTGCCGCTGGTGGACCTTGATGACGGAGCAGGCAGCACCTGGTGGCTGAGGCAGAGATGAATTCCCACGCTCCACATCTGGGCCGGCCCCGCTCTGAGAAGCCGTCCTGGGCCCTATGGGGGGTTAACAGCATCCCTGGCCCCACCCATTCAATGGCAGCAGCACCCCCACTTGTGACAACCACAGATGTCCTCAGACATTGCCCCGCATCCCCCCAAATGTCATTTTGTCTTTCCTCTGTCTCATCCGGGGGCCCCTGCAAATGCTGAGTCTGTGAGAAACCATGCTCAGCAGGCCAGGGCGGATAAAGGCACAGGGTCCGCACTGGGGACTGAGGGAAATCAGACAGGTGGGAGGTGCCCCGCTAGGAGAGGGGAGTCGACAAGAGGTGAGGGGTCCCCATACTGCAGCGCGGGAAAGAGGGAGTAGGGACGGCTTCCTGGAGGTACTGAGGGCTGAGCTGTTGAGAAGGGGCAGCAGCGGTTGTGGGAAGGGCATGTCAAGGATGGAGGGCCCATGCCCGGGGTCCTGTAGAAATCAGTGTGGCCAGGTTAGGCATCTGCATATGGGGGTGGGTAGAGGAGGCCATGGATCTCACCATGACTTAAAAAAAAAAAAAAAAAAAAAGACTTGCAAAGTATATTCAACTGAATAAGAACCCCCAAAGATATCTACTTCTTTTTTAATATATTTTATTGATTTTTTACAGAGAGGAAGGGAGAGGGATAGAGAGTTAGAAACATCGATGAGAGAGAAACATCGATCAGCCGCCTCCTGCACACCCCCCATTGGGGATGTGCCCGCAACCCAGGTACATGCCCTTGACCGGAATCGAACCTGGGACCCTTCCGTCCGCAGGCCGACGCTCTATCCACTGAGCCAAACCGGTTTGGGCTCTACTTCTAATCTGTGGGACTTGTAGATGTGTCACCGCATGTGGCGGGGGTAAGAGGAAGCCGAGGCCCCTGAGATGGGAATGACTGCGGATTACCAGGGAGCCCCGGCTCATCAAAGGCCCTCCTAAGAGGAGGCAGGAGGGTCAGAGTCGGAGATGCAAGAGGCTGTGCTGCTGGCTGTGACGATGGAGGAAGAGCCGAGAGCCTGGGATTTGGTGCTGGAAAGGGCGGAAATGGTTCTCCCTGGAGCCCCCAGAAGGACCAGCCCCGCCCACACCTGGGTTCAGCCCCTGAGCCCCTGTGTGGGACTCCTGACCCCAGGACTGTGAGATGATAAATGTGTTGTTTGAAGCCACTAAGTTCATAGTTGATTTCTTACAGCAGCCACAGGAGACTCCTACATGGGGTGATGGGAATGACAAACACCATCTGACAGTGCACCGAAGATTTGACATTTCACTTCATGTAAACGTCTCCTGACCACGAAAGCCACAAGCAGGTTCTGGTCTCTAGCACATGGTGTGTGTGCTGAAGTGGTTCCATGCCTGCGACTGACTTCGAAATGTAATTTCAGAAGTGAGGTGGGTGGAGCCCTGGCCGGGTGGCTCAGTTGGTTGGAGCGTCCTATAAAGGCTGCAGGTTCCATTCCTGGTCAGGGCACGTACCGAGGTTTCGGGTCCAGTCCCTGGTCAGGGTATGTACTGGGAGCACCTGATGGATGTTTCTCTTTCACATCGATCTTTCTCTCCCTTCCTCTCCCTTCCTCTCTCTCTCTTTCTTAAAAAGAAAAAAAAAAAATCAATACGATAACATATCCTGGGTTGATGAAGCCATGGACAGACAGACAAAGACGGAATAGTGCAAACACAACAGAATATTACCTGTAGCATCTAAATAGCAGGTATGTGAGCCTTCACTGTAAAACTCCCCCAATCTTTCTATATATCTGAAAATTTTCATAATAAAATGCTAAAGAGTAACAATAAAAAAGGATGAGGCCCTAGCCAGTTTGGCTCAGCGGGATAGAGAGTCAGCCTGCGGACTGAAGGGTCCCAGGTTCAATTTCAGTCAAGGGCACATGCCCGGGTTGCAGGCAGGATTCCCATGGGGAGTGTGAAGGAGGCAGCCGATCAATGATTCTCTCTCATCATTGATGTTTCTATCTCTCCCTCTCCCTTCCTTTATTTTTTAAAAGATTGATTGGATCACCTTTCATCATGGTTACTGTAATTTTCAAGCCTGGCCTCTTCTAACATTATTCTTGCTGCGGGGGCGGGAGGGGGGGTGGCGGGGGGGAGGCGGAGAGAAACTCTTGAGCAAGCAGCAAGAAAAAAGGGAAGTAAACAGAAACAACTAGTTTAAAGAGGCATCAAACATACTTCAGAGAGAAGCAGGGCCAAGGAAGGCTTCAAGCCGTTGCGATTGGCCACAAATCCACACACACATCTGGGGGGGATGATAAGGTGTCCGTGGTGTTGCGACAGCTTTGTGAAAACACCCGCCAGGGACGAGAGGGCATGCGCCAGAATTAGCAGGGCCTATCTCACACTGGTGGCTGTTTTTGTCTGTTTTGTTTTGTTTTTAATTGATTTGAGAGAGAGAGGAAGAGAGAGGAACATCGATGTAAGAGAGACACACGGACTGGTTGCCTCCCACACAAACCTCACTCCAGGCCAGGAAGTGGACCCAAAACCCAGGTATGTGCCCTTGACTGGGAATCGAATCTGAAACTGTTCAGTCCAAGGGTGACACTCTAACCACTGAGAAACACTAGGCAGGGCAAAGCTTATGTATTCTTTTTTTTTTCTTTACTATATTTTTATTGATTTCAGAGAGGAAGAGAGAGAGAGAGAGAGAGAGAGAGAGAGAGAGAGAGAGAGAGAGAGAGAAACATGAGGAGAGAGGATCATTGATCGGTTGCCTTCTGCATGCCCTCTACTGGGGACCGAGCCCACAACCCAGGCATGTGCCCTTGAAGCATCCATCTTATATAGAAACTGCTGTTTGAAATTTTAACCCTGCATTTTGGCTTCTGGAATGCTTGCTGGCTTAAATAATAAGGAACATAAGACTACTCCCATTTCAGAGAGGCCATTAAACCTTCCCCAGCCGAAACCGGTTTGGCTCAGTGGATAGAGCGTCGGCCTGCGGACTGAAGGGTCCCAGGTTCGATTCTGGTCAAGGGCATGTACCTGGGTTGCGGGCACATCTTCAGTGGGAGATGTACAGGAGGCAGCTGATCGATGTTTCTCTCTCATCGATGTTTCTAGCTCTCTGTCTCTCTCCCTTCCTCTCTGTAAAAAATCAATAAAATATATTTTAAAAAAAAAACAAACCTTCCCCAGACTAAGTTATCAGTGCTGGCGTCAGGCCAAGCCTTTGGTCGAGGTCTCAAAGTCCCAGCACATAGGGGCTCTTTAAGAACTTGCAAAGGGAACCAGAACAGAACCCCATATTTGGGAGACAACGAGGGTAAGATGGTATAAATACAGGAAACTTCCTGTGTGATTTCGCCCAGAATTTGTGAGAAATTTTCCTCTGGGCCCGCGCGTAATAATAATAAATGTAACTCCATCTCTCTAAGCGTTGCTTGGTTCTTCTCTGGTTTTCTGTAACACCCTGACTGGGAATCGAACCGTGATCTCCTGGTTCATAGGTTGACGCTCAACCACTGAGCCACACTGGTAGGGCAAAGCTTATATACTCTTAATATGAACACTCTGCCACTGAATTTTTACACTGACAGATGTGTATTAAAAATATTTCATATACTAAATACTGCACTGGTTTCTGCATATATGAAGCCAGTGATAATAGTTTCTGTCCTACTTGATTAAAAATAGGTCTTAAACAAACTAATTTTAACTGTACTAAAAACTACAACAGTTCAAGAATCTATGACCCTATATAAAGAAATCCAAAATGTACAAAACACAACTATAAAAGCAAGGAACAATATGGCCATGTAAAGTATTAAACTAAAAATTGCATAGAAATGTGATTTTAAGCCCTGGCCTATGTGTGTGGCTCAGTGGTTAGAGTGTCGGCCTGCCCACTGAAGGGTTGAGGGCTTGATTCCCTGTCTAGGGCAGGTACCTGGGTTGCAAGTTCAATCCCTGCCCACATCCAGGCACCTGTGGGAGGCAACGAATTGATGTGTCTCTCTCACATCAATGTCTCTCTCTCTCTCTCTCTCTCTCTCTCTCTCTCTCTCTCTGTCTCTCTCTCCTCCCTCTCTCCCTTTGCCTCTCTCTCAAAAAAGTCAATGGAACCCTAGCCAGTTTGGGCCAAGTGCATAGAATGTCAGCCTGTGGACTGAAGGGTCCTGGGTTAGATTCTGGTCAGGGGCACATGCCCGGGTTGTGGGCTTTATCCCCAGTGGGGGGCATGCAGGAGGCAGCCGATCAATGATTCTCTGTCATCGTTGATGTTTCTATCTCTCTCTTCTTCCTCTCTGAAATCAATAAAAATATTTTTTTTTAAAAAGTCAATGGAAAAATATCCTCATGCGAGGATTAACAACAACAACAACAAAAAAAAAACAAGAAAAAAGAAATGCAATTTAAAATGGCAAACTCAAATTCTGTAACTCTCAAGATCAAAAGTCAGCATTAAATTCTACCAATGCTTGCGAGGATTTAGAAAAGGAAATACATTCTCTGCTAGTATCCTATATAATAAAAGGGTAATATGCAAATCGACCAAACAGCGGAATGACCGGTTGCTATGATGCACACTGATCACCAGGGAGCAGATGTTCAATGCAGGGGTTGCCCCATAGGCGGAGAGCTGCTCAGCTGGTGGCTGATGACTGGTGAGCGCAGCGGCAGTGACGACAGCCTCTCCATGGGGAGCCGGACTAAGCCGTCAGTCAGACATCTCCTGAGGGCCCCTGGACTGCAAAAGTACACAGGCCAGGCTGAGGGACTCCCCCCCCCCGCCAATGCACGAATGTCGTGCACCAGGGCTCTAGTAATGATATAAATTATATCTTTAAATCCATGGAACAAGTTATTTGTCTCTAACCTCTAGTTCAGTGGTTCTCAACCTTCTTAATGCTGCGACCGTTTAATACAGTTCCTGATGTTGTGGTGACCTCCAATTTCATTGTTACAAATTGGACATAATTAAAGCATAGTGATTAATCACAAAAACAATATGTAATTATATATGTGTTTTCCGATGGTCTTAGGCGACCCCTGTGAAAGGGTCGTTTGACCCCCAAAGGGGTCGCGACCCACAGGTTGAGAACCGCTGCTCTAGTTCAAAAAATTAGCTCTTGCCCTAGTCGGTTTGGCTCAGTGGATTGAGCATCAGCCTGCAGACTGAAAGGTCTGGGTCTGATTCTGGTCAGGGGCACATGCTTGGGTTGTGGGTTTGATCCCCAGTGGGGGTCATGAAGGAGGTAGCCAATCAATGATTCTCTCTCATCATTGATGTTTCTATTTCTCTCTCCCCCTCCCTTCCTCTCTGAAATCAATTAAAAATATATATTAATAAAAGGGTAATATGCTAATTAGACCGGAAGACCTTCCAGACGTCCTTTTGGACAAAGCCATGGTGGTGGGCTAAGGCAGAGGTGGTTAGGGGCGATCAGGCTGGCAGGGTGGGGGGAGTTGGAGGCGAGAAGGCCGGCAGGGGGGGCAGTTGGGGGCGATCAGGCTGGCAGGCAGAGTGGTTAGGGTTGATCAGGCAGGCAGGCAGGTGAGCAGTTAGGAGCCAGGGGTCCCATATTTCGAGAGGGATCCCAGATTAGAGAGGGTTCAGGCTGCCCCCCCCCCCCCGCACAATTTTCGTGCACCGGGCCACTAGTATGTATGTATGTGTGCCGGTGCACAAAAATTTGTGCACTCGGGGGGGAAAGGGGGGTCCCTCAGCCCAGCCTGTGCCCTCTCGCAGTCTGGGACCTCTCGGGAGATAACGCCCTGCTGGCTTAGGCCTGCTCCCGGGTGGCAGAGGGCAGGCCCAATCCCTAGGTGCAGCCCCTGGTCGGGCTCAGAGCAGGGCTGATTGGGGAGTTGGGGCGCCGCCCCCTGTCACACTCAAGGCAGGGTCAATGGGGAGGTTGCGGCGCCACCGCCTGTCACGCACAGAGCAGGGCCAATCAGGGGGTTGGGGCGCTGCCCCCTGTCACTCACAGAGTAGGGCCGATAGGGGAGTTGGGGCACCGCCCCCTATCACACACAGAGCAGGGCCCGTGGGGGGGAGGGGTTGGGGCACCGCCACTCTCACACTCAGGGCAGGGCCGATGGGGAGGTTATGGCTCTACCCTGTCACACACAGAGCATGGCCCGTGGGGGGTGGGGGGTTGGGGCGCCACACCCTGTCACATGCAGAGCAGGGCCGATCAGGGAGTTGGGGCGCCGCCACTGTCACACACAGAGCCACAGGGCGATCAGGGGGTTGGGGAGCTCCCCCCGTCATGCTGATCCCGGTGCTGGGAGGCCTCTTGGCTCTGCTGATCCCAGTGCTGGGAGGCATATTACCCTTTTACTATATAGGATAGAGGCCTGGTGCAGGGGTGGGGCTGGCTGGTTTGCCCTGAAGGGTGTCCTGGATCAGGGTGGGGGTCCCCACTGGGGTGCCTGGCCAGCCTGGGTGAGGGGATGATGGCTGTTTGCAGCTGGTCACACACCCTTCAGGGTGGGGGTCCCCACTGGGGTGCCTGGCCAGTCTGGGTGAGGGGCTGAGGGCTGTTTTCAGGCTGGCGGGTGACGGAAGCTCCCAACTGCTCCTTTTTTTCTTTTTTTTCTTTTTTTATTCTGGGCCAGCTTTAGCTCTGGCTCCAGCTCTTAGGCCTCCGCTCCTGAAAGCAGGTATCTGGTTTGTTTTGGTTCTATAATCGAAACTCTGTATCATCTCCAGCTCTGAGTTCCCTGCTTGCTGAAAGCAGGTTTCTGGGGTTTTGTTTAGCTTCTATATTTGTTACAATGTTTCTTAAACTTCAAGCTCAGAGGCTGGCAAGGCAGGCGGGGAACATTGGAGTCCTCCGTCACTGAAGCAAGCAAGCCTCATGTTAGTTTCAAGCTGCCTGGCTGCCGGCCGCCATCTTGGCTGGCAGTTAATTTGCATATCTCGCTGATTAGCCAATGGGAAGGGTAGCGGTAGTACACTAATTACCATGTTTCTCTTTTATTAGATAGGAGAATATATATATATATATATATATATATATATATATATATACACACTCTTTAACAGTTGTTTTTATGAAAACCTTTTCTTTCAGTTAGGTCATAAGCAGGATAATCTTCATGTACCTTTTTGCAAATCTGCTTCATTTTAACTTCCTCCAAGGTAGCACTGGCCAATAACTTCGTTACTATTTCCTTAATTCTGTGCATATTTTTAATATCTGTGCTTATATTGTATATGTGTGTGTAGCCAGACACAAAACACACAGTGTGTGATTCCATGAACTGTTCAGAACAGGCAAACCCACAGAGACAGGAATTGGGTGAGAGGTTGCCAGGGGCTGGGGAGATGAGGGTTTGTAGAGCTACTGCTAATGGGGACGGGGTTTCTTTCTGGGGTGATGGAATGTTCTGGAATTAGATAGAAGTGACGGTGGCAGAACTGTACTAAACACCACTGAACTGTACACTTTCAAAGAGTAAACAGTATGGTGTGTAAATAGTATCTCGATAAAGCTGTTACTTTTTTTTTTTATGACAAAACAATTTCCCATAATGCTAGGCTGGGCTGGGTGGTGGAGTATTTGATGTTGGACTAAACGAGAGTGTGACTAGGTGGCACGACACAGCCTACGGTTACCCAGAGTTTACTTAACACGGAGCAACTCACTTCCACCTCACTGTCCCCCGCAGGCAGTGAGCACGCTTTGCAGAAGAGCCCGGAGCCCAGCTTTCCCAAGGGGGTCGTACCCTCCAGGAAGCCCTCCCTGCTGCCCTGGGCTCCGCAGGTCAGGCCAGCTATGGGGGTGGCACACACCCATGGTCCATAAAGGCTTGCTGACAGAATCCACATGGAGAAGGCAAGAGGACCACCTTTTATGGCGCTCTCACCCCTAGAGCCCCTTTTTCTGATGCTTAGGGACAGGAGAGAACATTCCCCGGTTACCAGGGCCAGCCTGACAGTGACTTTATGCTGCAGTGGGGGTGGGTCACCCTTCAGCCAATGCCTGGCCCTCCTGCAAGCAGAGGGGGTGGGGGGAGGACGCCCCAGCTGTGCCTGGCTCTCCTCCCCTTCCTGCTCCAGCCGCAGAGCTGATTGGCCCACCCTTCTGCCTCTGGCCACCTGTTGCTGTCTTTCCAGGAGTCACCCTCCATCTCCATCCCGTCTCCCAGGCCCAGCATGGTGGCTGTGAAGTAAGCGGAGTAGGAGGAGGCCTGGGCGGAGGTGAGCATCTCTGGGGGTCTGGGGAGGGCATCTCTGAGGTCCATGGGGGTCCCCAACTCTTGTGGATGCCCCTTACACACCTAGGGGTGCACCCCCCGGTCATTAGCCTCCCCCCACCACTGCCCTGTGACAGACCCAGAAAAGAGTCACCTTTTGGCCCAGGGATGGGACACACCAGCACCGGCAGCCAGAGGGACTGGGGATCCCGGAAAGCAGGGCTTTGCGATGCCCATGGACTTGGGTTTGACCTCGGGCTCTTGTACGACCTCTGGCCAGTACCTCCGTCCTTAGCCTCAGTTTCCGCCTCTGCTCTGAAGGAGCAGAGGCAGTGAGAGGAGACAGGGACCCCAGTGTTGGGATAGAGAGGCCCCCAGGACCCCCTCACCGTTCCCCTGTCTGTTTTGGCCAGAGCAAGGCTGGTCCTGGCTGCTGGAACTTGAGCTCCTAGATTTAGGGAAGGGGGGGCGGGGGTGGGGGGAGACTGGGTGCCAGGTATAGCAGGTAAGAATGGTCCAGAGGGAGATCCCTAGGGGGCAAAGGTCTTGAAGGGGACGGGCCGCATGCTGGCCCATCCCATGGCTCTTGGGCAATGGATAAAAATAGTCCCTGGTCTCAGAGACATGAGCCGACCCTGGGGCCCAGGGTTCTGGTTTGAGCTCTTTGCCCATCTCTTTGTGACTTTGGGTGGATCCTAATCCTTTCCGGGTCACAGCTGCCTCTGCTGTGTACTCAGGGGTGCTGGGGCCCAAGAGAGACTAGCCACTGGGGAGGGGTCCCAAGGCAGACCTGGGGTCAGGGAGTGTACCTGGGCCAAGCTCTGGGTGAGTATGGGGGGTTCCACGAATAGGGTCCTTCAGGGCTGGGGGAGGCAGAGGCTGGGTCATACATGTACTCAGGATCCTCCCCACCAGGTCAGGCCCAGGCCCACTCAGGGGCTCAGTAAATGCAAGCTCCCTCTTTCCCATCCCCCGCCCCCCTCCACAGCTCCAGTCTGAACTGAACCTGCTGCTTCCCAGACATCTCCATGACAACCATGGCCTTGGAGAAGCCTGATGGAGGCCTGGGCAGCTGCCAGGCGGGTGAGGACCTCTCTGTGCTGGCTGATCTCTGACCAGGCAGGCCCCAGGAGAACCGGGCTGGTGATATCCTTGGGGGTGCTGGCAGGGTGAAGACCATGCCCCCCGCCCCCCCTCCCCCCGTTCTGAAGATGGCTCCCCTTCAGAGACCAGGACTTGGACCCTTACACTGGCTTAAACTGTGAACTGTGCTCCCATTTCCCACCTCTGGTTCATTGGTGCCTCAGGGGTCTATAAGAAGCGCTCCCCCCTCCCTGCCCCTCTCTGCCCCCCTGCCGTAAAGAGGGGCTGGGACGCACGGGTTGGGGTTCTAATCCCCGCCTGCCAGGAAACTGCTGTGTGCCTCTCGGCGGCTTTCCTATCTGTAAAGTGGGAGCAATTACCTACCCCTCACCCAGCAGAGCCTGGGGGAGGGTGGGATTGGCCTGAGGATCCCCACGACCTTGAGTCTTCCTCTTTTCCCACTAACAGTGACACCCAGGCTGGCCGACTCCAGCAGCTGGGCCCACGTGAGTAGCTGGAGCTCCCCTGGAGTCAGGGACACACTGGCCAAGGAGGGTGGGTTTCTACAGTCCATGGGAAGGTGTTGGGCTCCCCCAGAGGAAAGACCGGAAGGAAATACCCAAGATGACTGGTGACTCCCCACAGGATTCTCAGGAGCCAGAGGCTGAGGGTAGCCCTGCGGGTAAAGTGGATGCCAGGCCCAAGAAGACAGAAAAGGAGTCTGTGGCCAAAGTGGCCCCAGGACCCAGCAAGGAGAGGCTGAAAGCAGGAGCAAGTCGGTTTTCAGGAGGCAGGGGTGAACTGGGGGTGGGTCTGGACTGACGTGGGGAGTTGGTCCGAGGTTGGCTGGGTGGATCTGGGGTGGAGGGGGAACGGGGTGCTGCAATGTTGGTTCCTGGCTGAGTGGCGACCAGGTGTCACATGGAGTAACCAGAAGGTCTGGGAGCTTCTGCTAATTCATTATGACACCAGCTAAGGTGCTACTAAGCTTCAGCTAATTATCCGGAATATTCTCCGCATAAGAGAACCCCTGAAGCTGCCAAATTAGTCCCCTGCCTAGGGCCACACAGCCAGGCAGGGCTGGGCCGGGTTGAGGGTGCAGGTCCGCCCTGGGAACCGCGCCCAGCCCCACACTTGCTCCTGAAGCTCCAAGGAGCCCCGCGCGCAAGAAGACGCAGGCCGCGCCACCCCCGCAGCCGCCGCCGCCGCCCCCGGCCCTGAGCGAGGAGCTACCCTGGGGAGACTTGTCGCTCAACAAGTGCCTGGTGCTCGCCTCGCTGGTGGCGCTGCTGGGCTCAGCCTTGCAGCTGTGTCGCGGTGAGCCTGTGCCCCGGGCCTGATTCTTACACGTCCCCCTCCTGATGGACAGGCCCACGTCACTCCCCCGTCTCCCCTCGCGCCACTCTTTTCCCCTAGCATGGACCTGTGCGCGGTCCTCCTCTTCTGTGCACCCCCAAGGTCCGCCCGGGCCCCTCTCTCCAGGATGGGCTTTGCGTGCCTCCTTCTCCACCCCCCCCCCCCCCCCCCCCCGACCTTGCAGTGGTGGAGGGGAACCTTCCCCGCCCAGTAAGGAGCATGGTGCACCTCCCTGCCCGGTGAATGCTCCCCCCACTCCCCCAGGGGCCTTGCACGCCCAGGATGAGCCACGGGCGGCCTGCAGCCCGCGGAGAAATATGACCGGTCCTTTGGCAACCGGAATGCGATCTGGAGCAGCAGCGGGGACCCGCACTCTTTCCAAGGGCTCGGAGGCACGCAGCCCAGCTCCGAGTCCTGGAGAAATCGGCTCCTCCTCTCCACCTGTCCCCGGAAGAGGGCGCTGTACAGCGGCGAGGGCTGGGAGGGACGTGGGTCTGGCTCTTGGCGCCGGCTGATTCGCACCCGCTCCCGTCCCCTCTCAGACGTCGTGGTTGGAGTGGCGGACGCCCCTGCACCTGTCCCTGAGCCATGGGTCCCTCCACGCTCTGCGCCAAAGAAGCCGGCGTCGCCCTCGGTAAGTGTTTCCTTCAGCGACTTGGGGCGGCTGAGCCCTCTTTAGAGGAAGGGGCTGTGCCTGGGGGGTGGGTTTGCGCCGATTCCATCCACCCGCACTGCGTTGCAGCTGAAGCCCGAGGCCTGGACTCCCCCAGCGGGACCCCCTGCGCCCCAGGTGCCGGCAGAGGAGAAGACAGAGGTTCCCAGGAGTGCGGAGGCTGCAGAAAAGGAAGAAGGGGACCCTGAGGAGGCCGCTGGGGAGGAGCGCGCGCCCCTCGCCCACGAGGGGCCCAAGGAGAAGCTGCAGAAAGAGAGGCCGCGGAAGGAGAGGCCACGGAAGGAGAGGCCGCGGACTGAAGAGAGACCATGGAAGCCAGAGAAGCCACGGCCCGGCAGGGAGCCCCGGGAATCCCCACCCCAGCGCTGGAAGGCACGAGAAGAAGGCCATCGACCGTGGGTGCGGGAACCCAGAGACCCTAAGCACAGGAAGAGGCAGGCCTGGGCCTCTCCGCGACGCCCCAACGCAGAGGACTGGCCTCCGGGCCGCCAGAAGCACCGCGCGGGGAAGGGGCGAGACTGAGCCGGGCCTGGGTCCCGCGCCGGAATCCCGGGACCTCTTCCGAGTAGCCCCTGGTTCTAGCGAAATAAAGCGAGTGCTGTGGCCCCCACGTCGCCTGCTCCTTTGCACCTCGACCTCGGATGGATGTAGCCCGGGGCCTGAATGACTGGGATGGGAACGTCAGACAGGGGTGGGGTGGCGAAGGGAGGAGGCAGTGCCAACCGGATGACCCAGCCCCGCACGCCAAAAGAGGGCTGGCTGAAGGAGGCCCCGCCTGCCCCCAAAGTGCACGGACACCTCAGCCGTGTGCTTGTGGTCTTTATTGGGGTGATGATTTGGGTCCGAATAAATATGGACAGGGGCGCCATTCGCAGCACGGAGTTACCGGCAGCCGCACTCGGTGGCCACCATGTTGGGCACGTGGTGTGCGCTGATGCGCTCCTCCGACAGGGTGATGAGCAGCTTGCCCGCGTAGGCCGTGGGCACGCAGCAGGGTGGACGCGCCAGAGCCGCCCCACGGGCCTGCATCTTGAGCAGCAACACCACGTGGTTGCCATAGCGCGGGTTGCGGTCGGACTGCGGCCAGCCGCAGGAGCCCTGGCAGTTGTTGGCCTGGTAGGTCTCGGGGATGAGTACCGAGCGCTCGGCACGGAGGTCCACACTCAGCTCGCGCAGCGCGCACGGCTCGTCCGCGGTCCTGGGCCCCGCGCTGCGCTGTGCCCGCGCCGGCCCGCTCCACTCCCTCCCGCGCCACTCGGCGCGCAGGCCCTGCAGCGCCTTTAGCAGAAGCAGCGCGCGCAGTGGGCCGCCGGGTCCGCGTGGGTCCCCCGGGTCCCCGGGGCACAGCGCCAGCAGGCGCGCCAGCAGTGGCGGGGCGGCGGGCGGCAGCCCTGGGAGGCCGCGCAGCTCAGCGGCAGCCGCCTGCAGCTCTGCGGCCACTCGGCGCGCCAGATCCGCCGCCCACGGCGAGGACTCCGGACCCTGCAGCGGCGTAGGGTCCCCCGTGGTGGCAGCCGCAGGTGGCAGCAGCAGCAGCAGGGGCTCCTCGCCGTCAAGCAGGCGCTCCAGTGCCACAGGGTCCGACAGGTTGACCAGGCCCTGCGGGAAGCCGGCCAGCGCGGCAGGGTCCAGGGCCAGGCGCGGCGGCGAGGCCCGGTTTTGGGGCCCCCGCAGCGTACGCACCAGACGTGTGAGCGTCTCCAGAAAGGGATCCGTGCCGGGTAGTGGCTCCTCGGGCTCCGGGGTGGGACTGGAAGGCGGAGACTGGATGTAGGCTCTGGGCTAAGCTGTCCCCACCTACCTCCCCGCGCCCCTGGGCTGGGCCAAGGCGCACCTGGGCGACGGGAAGGGCAGTGTGTCCAGCCGACCGTGCGCGGGCATGGGCGTGGGCCCGGGCCTCAGCAGCAGGAGCAGGGCCGGGGTCATCCGCGTGAAGCAGCGGGGGTCGGCGCCGAACAGCAAGGCTTGCAGCTGCGCGGTGCTCAGCGGGGTGCCTGAGAGCAAGGCGCCAGGCTGTCAGGAGCTGGGATCCAGGGCCGCGGCCCGCGCCCGCTCCCTCTTCTCCCAGCCTACCGTTTTCGCGGTGCCGCAGGGTTAGGGCAAGGCCCAGGCCGTGCCAGGCCCCCGCCGGATGGTCCACCGCCAGCGTCAGGTAGCCGGTGTCCCGGGATAGGCAGAGACTCTGAGGAGATGGGAGCTCAGCCTGGCTGGGCGGAGGCGCAGGCTGCCAGCCCTGCTCTGTTCACTGCCCTCACCACCCCTTCCAGGTTCGACTCTGGACCCTGGAGACTTTCCCTGAGGTGAAGACGGTTTACCACCCTCCCCGCGCCCCCCCCCCCCCCCCCGCCGCCCCTGCTATGGGTAAGGGTGACTGGGGGTGAAGGAATGCCCAACTCAACCCTGGTACCTGGGTGCCCAGCAGCCCGGCCCCTGTTACAGTGACCTCTGGGCCGGACCCCGGGTACAGCACCAGCAGTGCCATCTCTGAGGGGCTGATTTCTCCAGATGGAGGCTCCTGGAACCTCAGTGAGGGTGTTGGCTCCCAGGTCACTGCCGCCAGGATAATGGGGAAGGGGGACAGTTGAGCCACTGAGGCCTGAGCCCCTGGCCCAAGCCTGTCCTTCAGGGAGGGAGAGCTCCACCCCAATGGGGAGCCTTGGGACACTCGTGGGGGTTGACACCCCTCAACACAAGGGGCAGGACCTTGCCAGGACATGGGTGGGAGGACTGACAGGGTGGGTGGCGGGCTGCTGCCTGTCATCCCTGAACCCTTGAGGTCTCTTGGGTTTGGGGATCTCCTGGGTGGAGGTCCACGTGTCACGTGGGCACCCCTTCCCGGAAGTGTATCTGAGGACAGACCACCTCTTACACTGGGCTACCTGCTGTGTCAGAGGGGCACTCCTCCACTGCTGGCCCCAACCCCATGGCTCCTTCCTGGAGTGGGGACCTTCCCAGGCAGTGCAAGAGGGGTGGTCTGGGAGCCCAGCATTCACTGGCAAAGATAAGGACACACACCTCCCAGGCTGCAGACTCAACCCAGCCCAAGTGAGCAGGGCCATAGGCTTCAACTTCCCCAGGTCAGAGAGGGGTCTGGGGTCTTACTTGGGAAAATAATGGTCATCATGTAATGGGAATGATGGCTAGGGGACCACAGCAGAGGAACCTGCCCAGCCTCAGCCATGGGCCCGACGTACCTTCCTCCAGGTGCAGGACCGCCAGCCGCTGCCCCCGGGGCTCCCCCAGCCACACTCTAAGCCACTGCAAAAGGGGCAGGGCAGCGTGCTCATGGCTAGGGGTGCAGACGCCAAAGGTGGCCAGGTCACGAGGCCCCCAGTGGGCTCGATGCAGGGCCTCCAGGAAGGCCTGCTCGTAGCCCCTCAGGGCTCCCATCACCTGTAGGGGGGCACTGCTGCCATTGCTGCCACCAACCAGCGTCACCAGGCACAGGGAGTCTCGCTGACTGCTTGGAGGCAAGCCCTGGGGGGCTGGCCAGTCCCAGTCTTGGTGGAAGATGAGACCGCCAGTGCCTGCAGGCTCCCCAGGCAAGGCTTCTTCTCCAGGGGTCCCAGCCCCCATCAGGGTCCCCATCGCCCATAGCACCAGGACCAGCCGAGAGAGAGGTGCAGCCCTCATCCTGGGAATTGTCAGGGGCTTGGCCACTCTGCTTATATGGGCCAGCCCAGGGTGTTTGTTGCGGGAGGACAGCCCTATCGCCTCCCAGGAGGTGACCTTGGGGGCCAGTGCCTGAGCTCCCCTACAAGCCTGGGCCAGCTCAAAGCCCCTTCTGTTCTGGCCCCGCTGCCTATCTCCTTCCCACCAGTGATAGAAAGTGTGGCCTGTGACCGATTTGTCCAACTGTCCTTGAGTTTTCTCTCTGGAGACAGCGGTGGGAATGTGAGCAGGGAGTGACCGACCCAGATGGACCAAACATCAACAGCTGCGGGGCTGGGCCTGGAAGGCAGAGCCTCCTCCTCGAGGACCCAAGACACCAGGTCTCGGTGTTCAGACCACCAGGTGGGTGGTCTCCAGACTCAGCTGGCGCTCTGAATCTCCTGCCCACTCCCCCTGCCCTTAGGAATCAGGGTGCAAAAGGAACTCGGGCATCTTGGCCTGGAGACCCCAAGGACAGAACATCCTCTGCTTTGCTCTCCTCCCACAGGCTGGACCCCAGACCCACTGCTGGCTGGCTGGCTATGTCCATCTTCCATCCTGGAGTTTCTAGGACACAGATGACTTGGAACATCCACCAGTATCCTGATGGGCCAGTGTCTTGGAAGCCTGACCCTGAGCCACTCCCACTCCCCTGCCCACCCACAGACACAGCAGTGCACCCAGGTGTCTGAGAAGGCTGTTTAATGAGATCTAGGGACACGGCACAGCCCTGTACAAAAACACCAAATTCCATCAGGGAGAAAAAACAGGAAAACAGGAAAGTAGACTCGCAGTGAGAGGGGGTGGCTTTTCAGTTGGCTGGGGGAGGGGGTGGAATGTTTCCAGGGCCCTCGGAGGGCAGTGGGGGTCTCATCATTGGGGGCATGGGAGCTGGGGGGTGGACCCCGGGATTGGAGGGATGAACTCCAGGAGGCTGGGGGTGAACCCCAGGAGCTGGAGGATGAACCCCTGGAGGAGGTGGGTGTACCCCAGGTGGCTGGGGGTGCATCCCCGGGGCTTGGGGGTGTACCCCTGGGGCCTGGGGGTGGACTGAAGAAGCTTGTGGGTGTACGCCTGGGGCCTGGGGGTGGACTCCAGCAGATGGGGGAGGGTGGACACCTGGGGCTGGAGGATGGACTCCTGGGGCTGGAGGGTGAACCCCGGGAGCAGGAGGGTGAACCCCAGATGTTGGTGGGTGGACCACCGGTGCTGGGGGATGGACCCCAGGAGCTGGAGGGTGGACCCCAGATGTTGGTGGGTGGACCACTGGTGCTGGAGGGTGGACTCCAGGAGCTGGGGGGGGCAGTTGGGGAGGACCTGGGGGCCCTGCAGGTGCAGGCCCACTGGGTGGCATGGGGGGCAGAGGCAGGCCTCCTGGTGGGGGTGGAGGCAAAGACTCAGGCAGTGGTGGCCGTGGGGGCAAACCATTCATCAGTGGGGGTGGTGGCCGCTTCACCCCAGGAGGCCCAGCAGGGAGGCTTGGTGGGGCTGGAGGCTTTTCCATCTTAAAGTGGAACTGAAGAAAGAACTGGAAAAAAAAACACAGAAAAGGTGAGTGGAGCCCCTGGGGGTCTTGGGAGGGTAGACAGGATGGTCAGGGCAGCCACCAGAAGTTCCTTGGACCTAGAGTGATTACCTGCTTGGTTTCCCGGTTCCAGTGAGTCCAAAACTTGCCCTCGGCCTTGTCAATCTCTCTGCTTGGCACCTGCGAGGGGGAGGGGTGGAAAATGGCCTCAGGGGGCCCATGGCCCAGGTTTAGGCAGGGACTACTCCCGGTGTTAGAGCAGGCCCAGCCGGGAGAGGCCCTCATGAAGGAATAGGGCTTGGTTTTGGGGTACCAGACACAGCTTACATTCTAGCTCTGCTGCCTAGTGACCCCCATCACCCCAGTTAAATAATAGTTTCAATATGTGTTCATCAGTGTCTGTTAGGGCACAGGACACAGTCAAGGAATTCCTG